TATCTTGTCTGGCCTTCCACTAAGGAATTCCTCAAATTCCTCCTCATCGATAACATGTCCATTAACAGGAACATTATTCTTCGACTGAGAATCCCTCCTATCGTCCTCCCCATCGCTCCCTTTGGAGCGCTTGTTATTTGTCAGCTTCTTTTGATCATTATTTAGTCCATCTTTAGTGTTTGGACCCTGGCTCTTCCCCTCTCCATCTCCCTCGTCATTCCCTCCATCCCATTCAACCTCAACCTCCTCTCCTTTCTCATCAAAACCCCTCTTCTCCACTTCGAACTCCAAGTCAAAATAATGATCTCCAATCACCACATCTAGCATCTTCGGAATCAGCTTAGGATCAAGCACCGCAACTAAAATGCGTCCAAACTCATTCTTCCTCGTGGTCTCCATGTCTACAGTCTGCGTTGCACCTAACAGAGATCCCACCGCCCATAAGATGGGGAACTCACGCAGCAGTTTTCTAATGCATCTCACCCTCACCCACACCTTGGGTAGCAGGAAACCCTCTTCTTTTTCCTGCCACTCTTCAAACTGCATTCTGATGCCATCAGACACTCCTTCCCCCTTTGCATCCGCTCCCCATAAGCTATTGAACGTAATATAGCTCGGCCTTGGAAGGAAATTGGGTAAGAAACTCGTCTTTCCCAAGCTCCTTCAACTCCCAATTCCACTTAACAAGCACCACCCTTCTTAGTTTGCAACACAAGGTGGTGGTGAGACAGAGAGCCACCCACCACCGAAACTCTAGCCATCTTTGAGTCTTTCTTCGTCCTTGGCAACGGTGGATGCGGGATATGATAGAATCCCAGCCCCATCACTGCATATCCCGCCGCATAAGCCACCGGCCTTGTTGCTTTAAGAAGAGGACACTTGTGGTTCATGTGTTCATGCGAGTCGCATAACACACAATACACCTCCGCCTTACAATCCATCGCTGCGTGCCCCTTTTTTGAGCACCTAGAGCAGCGCCCACTCCCCTTACCAGCATCACCACCATCCCTGCCCTCTCCAGCCTCCAATGCCATTTCCCCCTCAGTGCCTTTCTCCAACTCGGAAGCACCCCCCTTTTCCTCAGAAAACTCACCAGCCTCTTCACCTTTTCCTTGTTCCTGGGTCTGTCGCCCATCTTCATACCACACCCATCTTCCTGACGTCTGCTCCCAAGGTCCACCTCTCCCAGCTCCACCTGGTAGATGAAACTGCCCAGCTCTTCCCCTACCTGAATCGCCAAACCGTCCCGATCGCCCCCTTCTGAAATCACCCCGCTGAGCACCACCTCTCCAGGCCCAACTCTCCCGCCCAGACTTCTTCCAGCACCACACGCCCCGATCACAACGATCTGAGCCATACGCTCACAAGACATCCTCCCATCTCGCCCTCGCCCGTCACGATCGCCCACCATCCTCACCGAGCTCGCAACCTCCTCTGCTTTGCGCTCATAGACCTTTGGTCCGAAAGTCCTCACCGAGCTCACAACCTCCTCGGCTTTGCGCTCATAGACCTTTGGTCCGATAGTCTGACGGTTTTGGTTGAGACTCGTAAGAACCCTCCGAGCCCGAGTCGAGGCGCTTAATATCGCCCCATCCCCCACCAAACTCCTCGGCTTCCCCCCAGCCTTAAACAGGATACATAAACCCGTCGTTGGTTTGAACACTGGGTGTGAACCAACATTGAATGACTTGCTGGCTGCCTGCTTACCCAGCTTATGCCCCTTTGGGTGGCCCAAAGGCCTCCCCCAGCTCTCAACCGATCCTGTCCCCCCTCCTTTCCTTTCTCCTAGGCCGGAGTTAATACATGCACCCTCCTCTGTACACAAATCTCTTAAAGATAATGATATCCTAGGAGATTTGGATTGTCTAAGATCTTTGACCAAGATGTCTCCTATCTGCCGATTTTGTGGGGACCGTAGTTTAGGCAGCGGCCCCTTCCACAATTTCTCGGTTCTCTGGAAGCGCAGATCAGCCACCGCCTCCGTAATTCTAGATGCCAGCGGCCGGGGATGGCAAACATGCCCAACCCCCCTATCCACTGAAGCAAATTTTGGAGAATGAAAATTCTCCGTTAACAGAGACTCAGCTCTTATCAAGTTATCTACCGAAAACCCAACTCTTGTTGCATCACGGATGAATTCTCTTTCAGAATTATAAGCTTCTTCATTCGGCTCTTCCCCCTCCTTTTTGATAACTTCGTCATCACTCTGACTATTGTCATCATCTTCAAGTGCCCAGAATCTCGATCCCTTCCATGGTTTTTCAACTCCGACGAGCTGATCTAAGGTCGAAAGATATGGTGCAGAGTGTCGCCGTTTAAGGCTCCCTGACACCACTGAACCTCTACTGAACCCCATTTGCTCAGTCCTTAACATACAATGCTTTAGAAGACTTAGCTTCTGAGCAATGTATCAGCACACTGCTCCTCTTTTCCACTCTTTGTATTACTAACCAGTACCTAAGTACGAAGCACTTATGCCGAAACTTACCTGGGATTCACTTTCTCCTACTGCCGCAATCCGTCGAACAGGTGCCGGACATCAGCTATGGCGATCCACCTCCGCCATGCCGTTGATGTGCTCCCTGCAGGGCAATACACTCACCAACACCAGCAGCTTCTCATCTGCACTCCGTCCTCGTAAGCTCCACCCAGCTCCGCCCGCAGCACGGCCAAGTGCCCAGCTCCCGCGGTAGTGTCGCCGCCGCCACCGCTAATGCCACCTTGCAACTCACGTCATGTCCTCCCGCACGGCGACAAGACGCACCATCCTCGCCTTGTTCCCGCACCGGCGCCAGCAAGCTCGTCCACTGGCTATCCCCGGATCAGCCGGTTAGCCGACAGTAGGCGTGCGCCCGGTACTCGAGGGGCCACCGGTCGCACCGCCGCGAAGCGCACAGCGGGGTATGCGGCTAGTGCGGGACTGCGGGGTATGCGGGGGGTGGCGGCCCGGCGGCGGAGGCCGGTCCGGCAGCGGGGTATGCGGGGGGTGGCGGTCACCTATATGAATCGAACCCTCTGATGTTACCAGGGCAAAACTGAGCGCACAACACCGAAGGAGTATGGTATATCAGTCCCTTTGTTAGTTTATCAACACTCTTACGAGGGAACGAGTATTAGTCGTCTATATTTGCAGCACCAATAACTCTACCAAAAGGCTTCACAGATGCTGACTCACGTATCTTTCATATTCCTTTTTCTTCAACCAAACTTGTTGAGTAACTCCACATAACCATTGCTTCCAACATTATTCATCAATCTTGTTTAAGTACAGTTCTTGCTTCGGGCAGGTGCGATCATTGCTTGATTCAGTTAAGACCTCCCCTAAAGATGACCTACAAGAGCGATTGAGATACGGTTCTGCTGAATTTAGCATCATTTCTACTCAACCAAACACTAGCTTAATGCATAGCGCACCACTAATAATTAAATCCGATTCTAAGCTAGCTTATAGAAGAGAAAAACTTACGACGCAAGAACCAAATAAATTCGTCATGCTAGAGGGCGTTTGAAATGATGATGATTGATGATAGATGGAATATTACTTTATGTTTTCGGTGGTCCATGTGAAATTTGGATCTTTTATAAATTATAATGGTATAGGAAACTAGCTCAAAAACAATGGGACGAATGGTAGAGGTGGCAGTTGGGCATAGACTTTGATCATGGGCCGCCTGACCCAACCCAATCTGACCCGCCTGAAAAATACCCATGATAAACACACTGGGTGCTCGGTGGGCTGGGATGCAAATTTTCGACCCGTAACAAAACTCGAGTTAGGCTAAGGCCAGAATTTCAGCCCGCGGGATGATAGCCTGACGGCCCGACTGAACACAAATCTCAGCCTGACTAATCCTCTCCCACATCCGGCCGCCCACAGGGACCTAGAGCCATGTCACATAAAAATATTATTTATATCGAGGGCTACATCTTTCACATAAAAAGTATATTTATTCAACATTATACAGAAAGATATGTTTTTTTTTCTAAAAAGATAAGCTTTGGTATGTAATTAATATGCTCCTTAAATTTTATATTATTTTCTTAAGCATGTTAACGATCTCAAATGAAAAACTTCAAAACTAAAACTTGTAGGTCTCATCGATAGCTACAACTTTACTGTAAAAAATATCTTCAATTGAGACCTTTCAAGAAAAATATAATTTTCGTGAGGCGATAAGCCTGGAGCACGATTAATATGTTGCTGAAACTTTATATTATTTTCTCGAGCATCTTAACGACCTCAAATATAAAAACTCAAAAATGTAAAGTTGTAGATCTCATCGAGGGCAACAACTTTGATATAAAAAGCATCTTCATTTGACACCATACAAAAAAATACTATTTTTCTAATGCGACTAGCGCTAGTACGTGATTATTATGCTGTTGAAATTTTATATTATTTTTTTAGTATCTTAACGTCCTCAAATAGAAAAAGCCAAAACTAGAAAGTTGTAGATCTTACATATGAAAATTATCTTCACCTGGCGTCGTATCAAAGAGTTATGATTTTTTTTAAAGTTAAGTCTTGTCACGTTATTTCCGGTGACAGATCTTGCCGTACCAACATATGTAGTGCGACGACGTTATTTTGTCACGTCATCGGATTAGTGTGACCTAAAGGGTTAGATCTATAAATTTTCTTGGACGTAGTTATTATTGAAATACAGTATTAAATATAAAAAATCCCCTCCCCGCCGCACCGAGTGTCCATCGATTGGGCGTGGGCCAGTAGTCGGGTCAGGCGCGGCCCAAGGGAAAATCCGTCGGGTTTTTTTGGCCCAGCCCGGCCCAGCCTATGATCAGATCCCGGTTTGCACCATTTTCGCGATGCATAGGCCCAGCGCCCAACACGACGCCTTTTACCACTTCTGTTGAGCGCTTCGCCTGCTTCCTCCGACTCTTTGCATTCCAGGGACTCTTTATATTCTCAATCGGAGCTTGGAGCATTCAAGGTGTTCACTCCCTCCGCCGTCAGTATGGGGACCGCAGCGGCCGACGCGATGAGGCGGCCGAGGCCCAAGAGAGTAAAACGCCGGATCGACGCCGCCATTGACCACCTCGCCCAGTACGGCTTCGCCGAGCCCCAAATCCGCAACATCATCAACAACCTCCTGCAGTTAGCTGTTGCTCCCCTTCCTCAGAAATCCTGCATGGCATCTTGCCATCGAGTAGCGTAGGGTACTAGGGTATTCTTCTGTTCATGTTCCTCCTCTTCAGACTTGCCCTGCACCTCAGAGAGTGTCCATCGGGCGGGGCGCGGCCCAGGGGTTGCAACCCGATGCTCGGGTCGGATCAGGCGCGGCCTAAGGAAAAATCCGTCAGTTTTTTTGGCCCGGCCCGTTCTATGATCACAATTGAGGCACCCAGTTTTCACCATTTTTTCGAGGAAGGCCCACCAGAGCCCAACACGACGCCTTTTACCACTTTTGTTGAGCAGTTCGCCTGCTCTGCTTCCTTCTCGTGCTGTCAGTCTCCACTCTCTGGAGACTCCTCTGACTGCATTCAATCGGGGAGCTTGGAGCATTCAGGCTTCGTTTGGAAGCCGCGAACCGCGTGGATACCCCGGCCTTTTCCCTCGGCGAGAAGCCCCACCTGGAACTCAGCCACGGGCCAGATTCCCCTGCATTTGGAAGCCCACGCGGAGGGGGAGCTCAGCCCGAGCCCTGTCTTTTCCCCGGGGCGGCTCCTCCCGCACGCCTGGGTCCGGGCGGCTTTTCCCCGAGCAAGGCGACGCGCGCGACGAAAGCACCCCGCCGCCGCAAGCTGTCCTCGTCCCGACACCGCCTCCGCTGTCGCCGTCCTCAGCCCATCGACACTGTGCTCGCCCCGCCGCGGTCGACTCCGTCCTCGCTTCCTGCCCCTGCCTCCATCCTCGAGCCCCGCCGTCGCCGTCGCCGTCACCGTCACCTCGCCGCCGCCTCCACGGCTTTCCTCACCTCATCTCCGCTGCCTCTCCCTCGATACGCGACTGCCGCGGTCCCCCTCGCCGTCAACACGTGACCGCCGCCACCTCCATCTCAGCATCAATATCCATCCAGTCAGCTCCAAGATCCAGATCTAATGTATGGTGTGCAGTGTGCTGCTTCTTGATTCCTTGCATGCGAAATGCTACCTATGCTGGTACATTCAGAAGTTATAAGTTTATTCGGTTTTGTTGGAACTAGCTAGTTCTGGGGTTTTGATCTAGGGCTATTGGATGTTGGTGTCAGATTAAGAGATTCTTCCACTGCCGGTAGTTACTATTACAGCGCCGTAGTAATTAGCTAACTTACTTTGTTTCGTTTCATATGCCTAACAGTTTTTAGTAACATTATTCTTTGTCTAGCTGTTAATTCAGTAGCTTGTAAGAATAATAATTCTGCTGGCAGATTGGAAACGATCAATAATAAGCTAGGAGTAGACTGCATTTCATCTCTTTCATATTTTTGTAGATGAAATAATAAAAAGAAATTGTAGCCGCTAGATCTACCAAGGATACACAAAGTCAACTCACCAAAAGATTGAGAGGGCATCATTCTTTACTTTGATCAAATTCAGCCATGGTCCTTTCTCCCAAAATACATTATTTTTATGAAAAATAAATGTCTCTGGTGGAAAGATTGACGTTAGGAAGCTCTGTAAGGCTGATGTTAGCGACACGATTGAATAATCGACTAAATAATTATTAGATAATCTACTGCTTCCTTGTGTGAACACACAGTAAGGGAAGGCGACGTCGAAAAGGCTCCCTGTTGTGGTACTGCAGCCGCTGTAGAAGGCATGCGCCGAACGGCTCACCTGTCTCATTGTAGCCACAGCACAACAGGGACAGGCGCAGAAGTCAGTCATGTTGTGTTATCTAGTCATTATAGCAGCATTGCAGCTGTACTAGGACTAGATGGATAGAGTTGTATAAATAGTTTGCTATTGCAACTCAGAAAAGATAGTTCAGATTTGCCATCTCCTAAACAGGGCTCCGGCCAACGCTGGTGTCTCTGGCTGTGTGTGTATGCTCTGTTCTCCCTCTTCTTCTCCCTCTAGCCATAGAGTGTGGTCGGACAGCGCCTGTCGTGCTCGGCCGTGGTCGGCAAGACTGGTGAGTGGTCAACTCACCTGAGCCGGTGATCCAGTGGCCTAACAATAATTTCCAGTGTGCAAGCTGCTAAATTTCTGAGAATATAATACTGGTATGAAGAGTTATGTGTTCCTGATTTTTTTAGTATAATTTTGTTCCCAAGGATGTCTGTCCCTTGCTCTCCAAAGAACCACTGGGAGCAGGAACTCCAACCTTGGTGAACTTGTGCATGATGTCCTAGTGCCAGACTCGTACTTTAGGTTGCTTGGTATCTTTCTTCCATACATGGTGCATCATCCATGGATTGATCCATCTGACAGACTGAGTGTATATATCTGCAAAAGTGCAAATGCATATGTTCTATCAATCTATATAATATAAATATAAATGGCTCCTCTTCTTTCTTGCTAGCTAACTAAGAAACATGTTTTTTTCTTGTCGAGGATGCTTTCATCGATGTGCAAAGAATACCTTGTTGGTATATGATGTCAGTATGGCTTCTTGTTTTGTTTACTTGCTCAGATCTCCGCATTAACAGGACAGATTAATTTAACAATGATTGATCACTATTCATTTTTAGCTTAATTAATAATATTATTTTTGTCTTGCGTGTTTAGTGTGATAGATTATACATGATAGATTAGTGAAAAGTGTGTAATACAAACATGTTTCCACCTCGCATTCAGCTATCTATGTAAGCAAAGGCATTGATACATTGATGTTCTGGACTCCTGGTAGCCAGTGGATCATGTATATAAAGGATGAATCGAGTTAAATAACCAATCTAGAGTCTGTGCATCATGGTTAACTCCCTTGTGCTATCATCTGAAAAATTACCCTGAACAATGCCATTGTGTTGTAAAGATTTCATCATAATATGGTCCAAGTTCTGACATATCTAATTGCACTGCCTGGTTCAAGTTCTTTTTAACATTTTTTCTTTGTTCTGATATTGGATTGACATGTGTTGAATATCACATATGTGTAGACTGTCAATTTGCCTGCCTTCCACTAACAATTTCTTACTAGTTTGCAGCATGCAGCATACCACAAGGTCATGAGCATATTGGCATTTGAAACTGGAGGTCCTAAAGACACGTGCAGTTGTTGAGAATAATTTGCAAATTTGTTTGTATAATATTAAAGTTTGTGCTACCTACTTAAGTTAGCATTGAATTAGGAACAAAGGTGCATATATTGGCTGAGATGATACTCATCAGTTTATCAAGAAGATATTTAACAGTTATGGACGTTTGAGTCTCACAGAGGTCCCGTTCGGTTGGCAGAATCTTGGCTGAAACTGGCTGGTTGTTGTGAGAGAGAAACACTGTAGCGACTGAAACTGGCTGAATCTCCAGAGGAGAACCAGCCGGCTGGTTCGCTGGAACCAGACCAGCGAACAAGGCAAGATTGTATGAAGTTTGATTAAGGAAATATATTTTAATTGTTATTTTTTAATCCTTTGTTTTTTGTTTTTAGAATATTTTTTGAACTGTGTTTTTAGTGTTTATTTGGAGTTTGAGAACATTGTGCGTGTGCAATTTACAGATTACAACGAGCAAGCTCATAATCAATAGCCGTGATATTCAAGTTTTTTTAGGAAAGCCGTGATATACAAGTTTGTACGTTCATCCTGGTTACTTCGGCCTGGCTTTCAAATGGCGACAGGGAAGGGGGAGCGGCGGTACTTTGGCGTTTGCTTCCAAACGGTGACAGGGAAGGGTAGCGGCTCCCGGGGATACGACCAGCCGCTTAAATCCCCGTCGTGGGTTTGCTACCCAGGGCAAATCTGCCCCGCGTCCCCAAACTAAGCCTCAAGGTGTTCACTCCCTCCGCCATCAGGAGGAGACAGCAGCGGCCGACGCGATGAGGCGGCCGAGGCCCAAGAGAGGAGAACGCCGGATCGACGCCGCCACTGACCACCTCGCTCAGTACGGCTTCGCCAAGCCCCAAATCCGCAACGTCATCCACGACCTCCTGCAGGTAGCTGTTGCTCCCCTTTCTCAGAAATCCTGCTTGGCGTCTTTGGCATCGAGTAGCGTTAGGGTACTAGGGTATTCTTCTGTCCATGTTGCTCCTCTTCAGACTTGCTCTGCACCTCAGACGGATGGGAAAGAAAATTCCACTTTTTTATTATCTCTCTCAATATACGTCCAAGATTCCCGCCTTTTCGCTGTGTATGGAGTATGGACGCGGTTGAAATTCTTGTGCTGGTGGAGTAGAAAAGGTAGCGCTTTTCCCTGCTTCAAGAAACCACAGGGAGACAGCAACAATTTTTTTTTTTTGGTTCGGGTTTCTCAAAATCTAGCTCAGTGGAGAACATCGAAGTGCATCTGAATTTTAGACAGGCGTGGTGCAGGATGTTCCTAGCAAAGAAACTACTTTGATTTCGCTCTGTGGGAGTGAGAGGTGGGTGCACTCTCGGTAGTGTCATAATTTTACTTTTTCTCCCCTTTATTCTTTTGGGTGAGGAATGTAGCAAACCAGACACCTTTTTCATGATTGAAGAGCTGATCTGTTGATTATTCAAATTTTGAAAGAGATTGAAGATTTCCTTTTATTTTCTGACAAATGCAACAAATGCTTGACTGAGGAATAAGGAATACTAACTGGTTTGTCCGTGATACTCAATGATACAGCTGTATGGGAGAGATGGGTGGGTCTTCCTGGAGGAGGGATCATACCCTATGGTGCTTAACAGACTCCTGGAAGAACAGGCGCAGCAGGATCAGGTGAACTCCCTTTCTTCCTCGCCTGCCCGTGGCACTTCGTTGTCGCTATTCTTGATTTGCATCGCATGGTTGAGTTATGTTTTTCTGAAATTTACATCTTAGTTGTGCATAGCCTCTTATGCCAGAATGTAGAGTTGTAGCATTGATCCTTATATACGTATCTGTGCCGCATACATTCCTTTGGAAATTTGAAATCCACTTTTGTTGAGCACTTTTGTTGGTGCTTTTATAAATCCACTTCAGGTCTCATCCCACTTTTGTTGGTGCTTTGATGACTTGTCTTGATGAAAAAGATGAAGAAATGGTATTGTTATTGTTTGCTTCTGTATTCAACTTGCGAATTTACAATGTGTTGAACATTCAAGTAATGAACTACTCTCTATTTTTATTTCACAGGATGAAGATGGTTCCACCATAACTGATGAATGATGAACTCATCGAGCGAAGATGAATGCCTCATGCCTCCAATTGCCTACCTATTTGATCCAGAAAACTCTTCTCTATAATAATGTTATCTGTTTGGAGGCCTACTGTTATTTGTTTGGAGGACTATGGATGTTGACTTGTGCTGTTTTGCACTTGTATCGAACTTGGAGTGCTTCTCCTGTGGTGTTGCTCTTATCTATATCTCTTATAAAGATAACCTCCACTATCTATTCTATCTAGAGCATGATAGACTTGACAAGATCCACTAGCCATAGATCTAGCATGTATACTAACATTTGAGATAAATAGCAAGTCCTAGAACATGAACTAGTACGGGATTTAGAGATAGAGGGAGAGAGAGAGAGGGTGCGGAGGTGCAAACCATCGACCGCCTTCGTAGAAGACGAGCTGGCCATGGGGTTGCTTGTCGGTGGCGTGGTGAAGCCTGGCGGTGAAGGCGCGGTCGCGGTGGCGACGGTGCAGAGGCAGCGGTGGCCGGTGGCGGAGCTTCCTGTCGCTGGCAGCGCCCCTTTCTAGATCGGCTAGGGTTAGAGGTATTGGTGGGGTGTCTGGCGGCTCAGGTGAACCTCGTACCTTGTGCCCCGACCCCCACCTCCCTTTTTATGGCACTGTGCGACGGGGGTCCACCAACCATGTAGCGGTTGGGCGCCCTCAATCAGGGCACAGATCCAAGGGCCCAATTGGCCGTTGGACCAATTGATGGAGATCAATCTAACATTCTCCCCTTTGATCTTACCTAATGACATAAACTCAACTTACTTGCTTTATCTTGTTTCCATTCCATCATAGATCAGTGCATAGAGCGTGCCTCATCGTCACGGTCTGTTGCCATTAGATTAAACAGGTACAATGCACCTCTGTTTTGAAATAGATTCTCAACTAGGCCCGCATTGTCTAGGAATCATAGGCTTTCCCTTAAACTCATGCCGGCTAAGTGTTCTCTGAACACGCTGGGTGGTAAGCCTTTTGCAAGCGGATTCGCGAGCATCTTTTCTGTTCTTATATGCTCAAGATTAATTATATGATCCCGGACTTTGTGTTTCACTAACATAATACTTTGCGTCAATGTATTTGGCAGCACCACTTGACTTATTGTTGTGAGCATAACATACTGCTGGATTATTATCGCAGTATAACTTGATTGGTTTATGTATGTCGTCTACCACTTTCAACCCGGGTATGAATTTCTTCAGCCAATTCACCTGTCATGTGGCCTCATAACATGCTACAAACTCGGCATACATTGTGGACGATGTAGTGACGGTTTGCTTTGAGCTTTTTCGCGATATAGCTCCTCCTGCGAGAGTGAATATGTATCCTGACGTAGACTTTCTGTCATCTCCTGCATAATCAGAATCTATATACCCCTCTATGTGCAGGGAATCAAATCTTCTGTACATTAGCATGAGACCCTTCGTACCTTGTAGGTAACGTAAAACTTTTTTTACTATTTTTTAGTATTCTATTCCTAGATTACTCTGATATCTACCCAGTAACCCGGTAATAAATGCTAAGTCAGGGCGAGTACACACTTGAGCATATTGTAAACTTTCGACAGCTGAACTATATGGGACCGCTTTCATTTGATCGATCTCATATTGGTTCCTGGGACATTGAAATTCTCCATATCTATCGCCCTTGACTATGTGAGTAGGTGAAGACTTATAATTTTGCATACTGTATTTCTTTAGAATTTTTTTTAAGTATGCCTTTTGTGATAATCCTAAAACCCCTTTTCTCTATCTCGATGAATCTCTATTCCTAGAACGAATGAAGCTTCACCGAGATCCTTCATATCAAACTTCGAGGACAAGAACTTCTTTGTTTCTAGTAGTAGATTAACATTACTGCTAGCGAGCAAGATGTCATCCACATACAAGACTAGGAAAATATATTTTCCATTCTTGAACTTTGCATAAACGCAATTGTCTTCTACATTTTCTTGAAACCCAAACTTTCTTATTATTCTATCAAACTTTAAATACCACTATCTTGATGCTTGTTTTAATCCATAAATGGATTTCTTCAGGCGACATCTCATACGTTCTTTTCCTTCCATAACAAAACCTTTCGGTAGTGCCATGTAAACATTTTCCTCCAGATCCCCATTTAGGAACGCCGTCTTTACATCCATCTGATGTAATTCTAAATCGTAATGTGCTACAAGCTCTATTATGATTCTAAAAGAATCCTTATATGAGACTGGAGAAAATGTCTCATTATAATCTATGCCAAACAATTAAAATGACTTATCTCATTTTTCTCGTTAGGATTTTCATTAGCACTTTTACGCACCAAGTAAGTTAACTTAGATATTTATTTGAGTCCACAAAAGTGAGTCACATAGGATTCGCTTATCTTTTCACGCGCGTTATAATTTTTTTAAACCCGAAAACTTGTTAGGCTAATCCTTCTTGGACCTAAATCTCGGTGCTAAGCAAGCCCGTAACACCAGGGGTGTTACAAGGCATGTCGACAGGTTTTCATGCAAACACGTCTGCGTTGGTACGCAAGAAGCTGACGAGCGCGTCTTCCTATTTGGGGTCTAGATGGGCCCTGATCTTCACGGTCTTGGTCAGATCGGTGAGGCCGAGGCTCACTTCCTTTGTTTCCTTGGCCTTGGTGGCCTTCCGAGGCATCTCCATCATTGGGATCTCCTGGTCTCCTTCGGGCACCTTCTTGGATTCGGCGAGGTAAGCTTCTATGCGTAAGGAGAGGTCGAAGGCTTCAGCGAGGGCGAGGCTCTCCTTCTCACAGTCATAAGCGACAACGAGGTTAGCCTGCAGGGAAAGGACTCCTCCGGGCGCCGGCATCTTAAGCACTAGATAAGAGTAGTGCAGTATGGCCATGAACTTGGTCAGAGCTTGTCGGCCAAGAATGGCATGGTAGGCGGTGTCAAAGTCAGCCACCAAGAAAGTGATGTACTCAATGTAGAACATCTTGATGGTGCCGAACTATACAGGTAGTGTGATCTCACCGAGGGGCTATGAAACGACCAAGGATACCGTCTAGAGGGGAGTGAATAGGCGTTTCTAAAAATTAACACCTTTAAATGCAGAAACAATTAGAAAAGGGAGTTTCCATACCACCCCTCACAAGTTAACCACAGAGTAAGCAAGGTATAAAGAATATATCTAGAAGCTATAACTCTGCAACACAAAGTTAGGACAGAGATCAAATAATATTCAGCACAGAGCTCTAATACTGGACGTGTCCGGTATAAATACCGGACGTGTCCGGTATACACGATTTCTGCAGATCAGCCCCGAACTTGCTCCTTTCGATTTCTATCTTCAAACCAAACTACAGGCACCTACTAGAGATGACAATATACACAGAGAACCTGCACAAGAGCTGGAGCAACACAAATATCAAATGAAATACGAATTGAGACACAATATTTGTTTTACCAAAGTTTGGACTCGTTCGAGTCCTACTCTCCGTTGAGGGGGCTACGGGCGGCCCAGCGAAGGTCAGCCCTAGAAGGTACCACGAAGGTCACTCTAGCCGGAGTCTTTTCCAACTCCTTTTCCTCCTTCCACTAGTTGATTCCGAGGCGGCGGAATCTACCATTACAAACTTTCCGAGACACACCACAATCTCTCGGGTGCTCTCCGGCGACGCCTGGCCGTCTAGGACCAAAGAGTCTAAGAGTAACAAATGCAAATCACGAGATTGACAATATGCACAAGTGCTCAAGTGGTTGGTTTGCTCTCTTTTTGAATTTCACTCAACCCACAATTTGATTTGGCAAATTTGATCAATCACTCACTAAGAGATGGTTGGGAGAGTTGGCAAGACTCAAAAACGTGTATAGCAACCAGCATAATCAGCAGCCTCCAAAGGTGGAGGCTTGGGGGTATTTATAGCCCCCTTAGAAAAACTAGCCGTTTTATAGCCGTTGCCATACCGGACACGTCCGGCATGACTTACAATGCGCCAACGGTAACTAAGTTACAGTGACAATGTGAGGCGTCGGAACTCCCGATGAAAGCCAAAACTCCCGATTGTCAGAACTCCCGACTAACATCGGAACTCCCGACCCTCAGCATATTTGAAAACTAAGTAACTGAGTTGAAGTTTGTGAGGTGTCGAAACTCCCGACGCATGCCGGGACTTCCGACCGTCGGAACTCCCGACTCACATCGAAACTCCCGACCCTCAAGGCATTTGAAAACTAGCCGTTGGCCTCTGGTCGTCCATACCGGACACGTCCGGTATGACCAGGACAGTGAACCATCTAAGTCAGTTAAGCGCGAGACGCTGGAACTCCCGACCATCGCCGGAACTCCCGACCATCGGAACTTCGACTCATGTCGGAACTCTCAACGAACCAACCCGAGAACAATAAGAATTTTATCGTGGCTTGGCACATACCGGACACGTCCGGTATTGCCAAACCAGCAAAACACAAGTTAGCTCTTTTGTCTCTCAAACACTCAAAACTCACATGGGTTGGCTGGAGCACTTATGAAACATTATCTATCAACATGATGCATCCCTCTTAATAGTACGACATTCCTATTAACTCAAATTTAAAAGTATAACGAATTTAAACCTTTTGAGTTGATCTCTTTCAACCGAAGCCGTGTATTCCAATCTTCATCAAGTGAGGGTGCTAACATGTCAACTTTGATCTTTTTCACTTGAGCATAGCCATCTTGAGCACGTGACTTGATTCCATTCATCAAATTTGAATAATCCCAAATGTGACAAGTCACTTCCATCAAACACTCCAATAGTGATTTGATCCTCCATATAAACATGGCCATCATAGCTTGATTAGTACCTCAACTAAATGCAAGTACTTCCTTCTTCACCCTAGCTAGGTTCTTCGGCCGCCAAGCCATCACTTGCCCTTCACCCTTGCTTAGTACCTCGAAGCCTTTTCTTGTTATCTTCACTATCTCAAGCCATCAAGTCACATCTTGTGTTGAATTATTCATTCATGTATTGTTATCTTTTTCATTTCAATTTAGCAA